AAAATATAAAAAAGTGTAATAAATATATGTTAATTATTTCTAGAATTATTATTTACTAGTGTAAATAATTATTTTTAAAAAATTATTAAATATTTTATTCACAATTTAGTAAATATGTCAATAAAATATATATTAATTAATTAAAAAATAGAATCGGGAATCAAGTTGGGACATGTATTTCCTATTCTTGGAGTGGACATGACCTTGCACGAATTTTTGTCATCTTAAAATAAAAACATGAAAGTACAAGTTTAGAGAGATGTAAATAAACTTTTGAAAGAGAAATTTTAGAGAGACAAGAAAAAGATTTAGAAAAAGAACAGTGAAAGAAAAGTTGAAGACAAAGAGAGATGTTTTTTTAGAAAAATAGTAAATTTGAGAGGAAAAAATACTATTAAAGATAAAAAAAAGAAATTACAACGAAAAAGAAAAATTACAGTGAGAAAAAATTTAGAAATAAAAACAAAAATCAATATACAGTCGTTAGAGAAAATAAATAAATATAAAGAGAAATAAAAGTAATAATTTTAGAAGAAAAATAAATTAGGAAGATAAATAAAAATTATAAGGACAAATTTTAGAGACATAAAAATTCTGAAAAATATTAAATTTTTAGAGAGAGAAATTAGAGTGATTTATTAGAAAAAAAGAAAAAAAATAATATATGAAGATAAAAAATTTGGAGAGAGAGAAATAATGATAAATATATAAAATATTAAGATTTTAAAGAGTGAAAAATAAATTTTTTTAGAGAGATATTTATGAAGAAAAAAAGTCTAGAGTGAGAAAGAAATTTATAGACAAATATGTCAAAGAAAAAAGATCGAATATTAAAAGAAAAAATGAGATTTTGGAAACAAACAAAATGGTTATATAATAATCCTTTTTAAAAATTAATAATCTATTAGAGATAATCTTTTAAGTACCATGATTAAACTTATAATTTAAACTTTAAATGTTACTAAAATAAATAGTATTAATAAAAAATTCATTTCAAATAAGGTAAAGAATTTAATAGAATTTATAGTATTTCAAATCACATTTATTTTTTAAATGACGTTAAACAAATATGTATTTATAAAAATATTATTACTTTTTTTTCTTAATTTTTCAAAAAAGTCACAAATTTATTGGCTTTGAATTAGTAAGGAATTGGGTTTCTTTAGGTCGTAATGCAATTTATACCATTTTTAGAAAATTTAAACATAATGCTATATACATATATTATCTTTTACGCTATTCTTTTAATTCTATCCTTCAAATTATTTCTTATAATTTTTTGACGGTGTAAAATTAAATATTTGAGATCATAACAAAATAAATATGGAATACAGGTCTTAATCAGTTAAACTAGACTAAGTTAGCTTGAAATGCTTATTTATTAATATAATATTTATTTTAATTTTTAATTTTTACGATTCTTCTAAAAATATGTATACAACCCTGGAGAAGAAGATTCAAATCCAGACCTCCTTTAAAAAAAAAGAAACCTAGATCTGTGTCTAAATTCGCGCCTTAACTAATTGAGCTATATTGTGATTGGTCAAATGAATTTGGAGAAGCAAAGAAACGCATTCTAATCTTAGAAAGTGTGTTTAGAGACAGTGACGGATTCAGAAATTTTTTTGAGGGGGCTTCATACTACTTACAAGTGAGAATTCATAAAAATAATATTGAAGTTGGCAAGATTCTTTTAGTAAATATAGTCTACAAACTTGGTCTCGAATACTACCATTGTAATCGAGAATTTTAGTTCTTCACCAAGAATTACTGGTAATTTTTCTAAATTCTATGTAAAATATTTATCGAATATTAATTATTTTTAGTACAAAAAGTGAGGGTGGGGGCTTCAAACTCGAAGATAAGTGCCAATTACCTATAAGCTAAGCTCATATGTTTCTCTACCAGAACATTAATAATAATAAAATTAAAAAATAATCTCCAAATAGTAAAACTAATTATGTATCAAATGTAAAGATAATACAAATGTATCTTAGACAATTAAATTAACAATTTTTTTTAGATTATGCAAAATTGAAATTAAAATTTATAGGAAAGAAGAAGGATTGAATATAAAAATGATGATTTAAAGAGTGAAAAAATATATCAGGACAATAATTTATAAAAAAAAAACATTACCATCTATAACGTTGTAACAACAACAAAAATGTATAAATTAAAAATAAAAATAAGCATTTGAATTGTGAGCAAGAATTAAATCATAAAGATCCCACCAACTTTATATATATATATATATATATATATTTTTTTTTTCTGAAAAAAATATTTGACAGAGGAAATTTGGAATTTCTCTTCATTTTTCATTTTTTAAATTGAATTAATATATGATTTCTTTTTATCTTCAAAAATAAAATTGACGATTTTTTTTTCTTTTATAAAACTCACGGCAAAATTGAATAGGAAAAATAATGGGAAAATCACAAATTAAGCTCGAACACGGCCACTGGGATAATACGAATTAAAAGACGAAGTACAAATAAACAAAACTACAAATAAAAAAAACGCATTATTGGAGGCTAAGAAATACGGAATACACAGAAAAAAGTAAAAGCACGAATGTTCATGGTCAAGCAGCTAAAAAATATAAATTATAAAAAAGGAAACTAAGATTCTAATTAAAGAAAAAAAAAAGAAAAAGAAAGGAAAGGAAAGACGCAGGGTATAGGAAATTTAAACAAATAAAAAGAGAAAAAAAAACGAATTGAAAATTGAGAGGAAAGTGAATCGTAGAGAAGGGTAGTAGAAAATTGAGGAAAGTGAATCGCGATTTAAAGATGTGATTTCCTTTTGTTTGTTTCGATGTAGAAGGTGCAAATCTATGGTGGATGAGGTTCTTCATCACCCACATTTTCGTGATAAAGATCGGTTTATGTGGCTTGATGACTTTGGTGCTATCTTATCGGACTTTTGGATTGAGAGGAACAATAGAATTTTTAAAGGTGGAGAGACATGACCCTTGTGTCTTCTTGTGGGCTTATTTTTGTAATTATTCTTATGGCCTTATTTTGCTGGACTGAACCACCATTTTTGTTTTAGTTGGGCTCCTTCTTGGGTTTTATTCTTTCATTTTTTCTTGAAAACATTGCTTCAATACAATTTTTGTACAATTTTAAACCTTTTTAGAGCTTGTGGAACTGATTTTGAGGGCCATTCTCGAATTCGTAAAGTTTCTATTTTCTGCTGTCCCAGTTATGTCCTTGCAATTGAATTTCAAGAGCAAGTGATTGATGCTTGGGAAAGCCATGGCTCAAAGTGTGGAATATGAACATGCGACTACTCTAACAATTTTTTTAATTCAAACAATATATTACGAGGTGGTCTATATCGAATCTTCAACCTCGTGGAAGGCAATTATGCCGTAAAACCACTAAACTATGTTCGGATTGGCAACGATTTTTCTAAAAATGGAAAAGGAAAGCACGTGGTATGTCCTAAATCGAGCTTCTGATGGAGGCCTAACATCTTCCAAAATATCTTGCAGCCCCCAGAATGAGCTATTTTGTAACTCCTGAGAATATCCATTGGATCTGATGACACTTCTCAGTAAGTTCTATTATTGTAAAGCCCTGATATTTGAGGAAATATGTTTCCTTAAAATTTTGGTCATAGCTTGTGAGAATTGTTGGAACAACCTTGGACTCTCAGAACACATGTTGTGCATTCATGTCTACTTATCCTGCTAGGAAGGCAACATATTTACAGAATGAAACATTCCCGGAAAAGAGACGGTTGCAGTAGCGTGTAGAATCGTCGAATATGATGGTCGCGTTTTCTGAAACCTTCTCACCCCTTCCATGTTCATGAATTTGCATTGCATGATCCTTATTCCCAAGTTTTTCTCTTGTTTGAACTGAAATAATGATAAGTTTATAGGGGTGTTTCTTCAGAATTACCTGTATTCAATAGTGTAAATGAGCTTGATGTTTGCTTTTAGTTGCATAAGTCCCATGTAAGGAAGAAAGATGCCCTCATTGAGATATCATGTCTTGCCAAGCCTATCTATGCTTAGGGTTTATGTATTCCCAATCTATCATGTTTGGGAAGTTCGGAGGTTAAAATCCCCACTCTCACGTACTGTTGAACCAATCTGTCATGTTCGGGAATAAGGAATTATATTTCTATTCTCTGGGTGCCTTGAGTTAATGAGATATTAGAATGCAAGAACATGTGTGATTATATTTCTATTCTTTGTTAAAAAATGCCCCTATTTTTATTCTATTTTTAGCTGAGCTTGATGCTAACTCGATAGACATTAAGCCCTTCATTTGAAAAGGAATGGTCTCATATTCTATTGTCTCGTGTGATTAGTTGAGATGCGCGTAAGCTGGCACAAGCACTTACGGATATATATAAAAAAAAGTCTCATTCTCCTTCTTTATAGTGTTATTGTAAACCATTTGATCTACAGTACTGTTGAATACGAGGTAAATCACCAACCAATCCAAAAACTTATGGTAATACTTTTTTTATTTTCCTTTTTTTAGAGATACTTTAACAGTTCCCCCTCCACTTGTAGGCTTGAAATTTGCACAAGCCCTAACAAGTGGTAACCAATATTAAACGAGGAGTAAATAACATTAGGGACATAAGACTTCTTGGTCTGATACCATGTTAAATCATCATTGAACCAAAAAGCTTAAGTTTATGGGTCATGGTGAATTTATTAACACATTAATCATTAGTGATGGAGAGTGACTGAATTATTCATGAACACATCTGTTTATAAATGCTTTTATTTATACTTTTGGAAGGTCTCTCTTTAGAATTGAAATTTCGAAAAGGCTACGTATATAACCCCGTTGGTTAAGTTATAAGTTTAGTTCTTAAACTTTAAGAATATTTAGTGTTACTTTCCTTAAGTTTCGATTCGTCATTCTCTGTAATCCTCACTATCAATTAAGTAACACTGCAGCATCCTTATTGAATAAATGCTGGCTTGTTCGATGTGATAAACACATGACATTCTTTACTGAGGAGTATGATGTTCTTGTTTACATTATGATAAAAGAGTAAGAGTATTAGATATGAAAGAAAGAAAGAGTTTTAAGAGTGATCAGAGCTAATATACTGTATGACTGCCTTAGTATCAGCAGCCATGGGTAAGTAGTTTCTTTGGAAGTCTTTGAACTGGAGGGAGTGATAGAGTGAAGGATTGGCCTCATTTATCATACATTTTGCTGGTTCCATAGTCGCGTCATCTTTAGGATAAACTAGATACGTTATGCTTTGTCGAGACATCTTTGCATTTATCACGGCTCGGTGTTCTCCTGCTTTCAGCTTTCCGTTGCTTACCACCTACGTAAAACCATCGAGTTCTTAGTTAAGATTTCGAAAGTAGTGTCAGATGTATGCAGCGATGTAGAATGACTATTTAAGAGTCCCATCAAACTTACTTAAGATATTTCATGAGTTCAATCTCTCGAATAGAGAGCAACGTACCTGTAAAACGAAGCCGATGTTAACCACAAAGGCATTATCTACTGGATGAACGCCGATCCATTGGCCATCCTTGAGGACTTGAAGGCCATTTATTTGTTGAAACAAGATGGTGATGAGGGATGGATCACAATGTTGGCTCAATCCCAAAGTCAAGCTAGGGTTTGGGCATGGAGGGTAATGGTTTACCAACAACAATGGATTCTCACTCATCTCATCCCCAAAGTATCCTTTCCCAAGTCCCAATCCTTCACTTATAAGCTCTAATATTTCCACAACCAGCTTTCGCATCACAATGCAATACGCTCCGACCACCTCCCTAAAATAATCCCAAAAGTTACAAATATAGTACACTGATCGATGTAATCATCGAAGTATGAACAACGTATTGATTGCATCTATTTAGTATATAAATTTTGAACTGTATTGTATATAATTTGGTGCATTCCGACAGAAAGAATTAGTCAGCCGAGCAAAATAAAGTGGTATACATGTTATGCACCTTTTTTTAAGCAATGTATAAAATTTCTTTATAGAGCGTGCCAGTGAAACAAATTCGAGAGGGTGGAGATTTAAATTCCTAACCTCAAAGGAAGAAGTATAGATGCATTTATTGTTGAGCTATGTTGCTACCGTGCTACTCTATTCTATGAACATGTTGTCTTTGCCTCTATAATTTGTTTGACATATTGTGTCAAAATCAACAAGATAGGTATATCAAAGTGAGAATCATAACTTAGAGCTAAGAAAAATATAATTAGAAATTTTCAAAGCTAATGGGCTAAACATGAAATTTAATCTAATAATAATGATGATTTTTTCAAAATTAGTCATGGTAAATCATTGATCAACATAAATGGATTGAATTGATTTGGGTTGTTTGATAAATTATCATCAATGATTGTTATGTTAGCTTGAATTATTTTTTAATCATTGATTCACATTATCAATAACCATGGCTTGGTTGGAAGGCTGTTTTCAAATTGTTCTCTCTATTAATTTGAATAAAATTTCACTTCATAGCTTTTAAAAATAATTAGTGAAATTTCTATTTGATAAATTGTGATTTATGAAAATAGACCATAGTTCACCTTTGTCAAGCTCAATTGACATCAATTGTGGTCTATACCTCTGGACCACAACTTACCATCAATTGTGGTCTATGCTATGTGCTACCAAACGTGATTGTTTAACAACTCAAATTTAACGGAAAAAGAAAAGTATAAAGTTTCACAAAAAAATTTGAAAAGCCTTCGATTAAAGACCCGCCGTTGATAATGTTTTTATTTCTTGTTTCTTATTTTCAGTTTTTAAAAATCACAAAGTGTTTGGTAAGACCCTATTTGGTAATGATATCGTTTCTTGTATCTGTTCTTTCATTTTTAACAAAGAAAAATAGAATTACATAACTACAGCATCTTGGATTCAAGGAATGACGAAATAGAATTTTTATTTATATGTTGGAAAAAATTGGAAATTGGAAGAAGAAATTTGTTTTCGTTGTTTCCAGAATTTCTACACAATTTTGAGAATATTTCTAAAAAATGAGAAAAAATAAATATAAATAGTTGTCAAATACTTAGATTTCTTAATAAAACTAAAATTAGAAACAAGATACGGGAACATTACTAAATATGTCCTAATTATTTTTATTTCTAGCTTGTTTCTCATTTTGAAGAAATGTTTCCAAAATTAACACAATCAAGTTTTTTGTTTCTAGTTTTCATTTCTAGCTTTTTCTAAAACATAAATAAAAACTTTTAATTTTTTTATCATTTATTGATTTGTAAAATGCACAATAAATATTAAAATATATATAAAGCATATAAATTTTGAATATTAATTTTAAAATTTAATTTCCATATAAAATTTTACTTTTTTAATTTAGAATTTAGAGAGCAACGAACCAGAAATGATTATAAAATATATTTCTAAAAAGGAAGAACAACAGAAACAAGAAATAGGTACCAAATACATATTTTTTATTTTTTATTTTATATAAAAGGTGGAAACAGAAAACGATAAATAAAAGAAACAAGAAACGGAAATGTTACCGGACGAGACATAAATAAATAAATATTTACAAATGAAAGGGATTGTGTGTGTGTGTTTACCTGTAATTGGAGGGATTTTGAGGCCAAAAATGAACATATTTGTCCAAAGGATGGCAATTGAAGATCAATGCATCTCTCCAGCAGTGAGTCTTTTCCTTCACAAAATTCTCACTGCTGGTGTAAACTCTGCAACTTCTGTTGGGGTCCTTGGAGCATTCCCTCTTTTTCTCCGGTCCCGACATCGCGTGAAATTCCTCGAATACCCTCATCGTCTCCTCTATTAACGTTTTCGACACTCCATGGTTTATCACCTGTCTCACCCAAAATAATAATACTTTAGGTTTTAACCTTTGTTTCGGTCTTTGAAAGAGCTTATTTACTTCCCTACGATGTTCATTTTTATTCCTGAATTTTTAAAAAGGTTAACATTTCAGCTTTCGTTGTTATTTTATTGTTAATATATGTCCTCTCCCAATATCTATCACAACCCATCCATGTGACTTGAGTACAGATCCATATTAATACAATACGTTAATACATATATTTAAAACTACCATGTCCATTGCAGGAAGACAAACGGTGTTCCAAAATGTATGCTAAAGTTCATATATTCTTAAATGAGCACTCAAATTAATGCAAATTTAAACGTAATAATTTTTTTTGATAATATTAGAACTAATAATTAAGGATGGAGATATGTGTTAAATAAAGTTGACCAAGAGGGGGTCTTATTAAAGTTTTTAAGAAATTTTATTAAAATATATTTCTCTAAAGAAACGTTATTCACTATATTATTGATAGTTTTGAATCTTAAACAAAGTTGACATTGTGCTCAATTATTATTATTGTCTCTTTTAATGTTTATGTTGTGTTTAATTCATCCCCTCATTCTCTATCCTAACCAAATAAATGAATAAATAAATAAAAATCTTATCCTGCCATCATTTAATTTTACAATTAAATCTTAATTGGCGTTGTTTTTGTGTTTTTAGGGTGGGAATTCGAACCCATAACACCATCCAAAATATATGCCAAGGTATGCTGGTTGGCAAACCCTTACCAATTATATACCCTTACTTTACTTGTTCATTAAGTTTTAGCTAATCAAATTTAAAAATACAACTGTTGAAGATTTGTTTAAATATTGCAATATTAAAATATAACGATAAGAAACCAAACAAATTTTTACAAAAAATTTCAAACCTAAAAATAAAATATTAAAAAATAAGAAACGAGAATGTTAACCTAAGAGAAAAAACACAAAAGAGAATAAAAGAAGAGAAGATTCATAAGCGCTCTCAAACCTGGAAAAATCCAAACTCTTGGGAAGCATCAAGGATTTTGTGAACGAGAAAGGCTCGGTCATGGTCGGTAAGATCAACTACCGGGATGGCGTTCTCCACTGGAACGGCAACGTTCCCGGGCCTCTTCTCCGGCGGATAAACATAACTTTCCGGCACTGATTCAACACCTACCCAGTTGGACACAAAATTCACCTGATCTCCCATATTACTACGGTCGATCTGATGCGTCGTCGTTTTGCACCCAAAAAATGAAACTCAAGTAGCTGCTTTGTAATTTATGTAGTAGAGAGGTTTCTTCTTCATACGGCATTAAATACACATGCAACTTGCTGCAACAAAATGCCACCAATATTTTATAATTTATTATTCGTTTATTTTTGTAAAATTACAAGTTTAGTCCTGCAGCTAATCTTCGATGATTGTTTTCAATCTTATATCGAATTAGTCATTAAACTTTAAAAGTTGTCTAAGAAGTCAGAGATCTATTATAGGAATAAATTTGAAAGTTTAAAAACCTATAGGGGACGGTCTCATTGGCAAAGCGTACAATATCTTGCAGTATTACCTATCTTGTGTTCAAACTTCAGGTGAACTTAGTACCAAAAATTCTAGTTGTTTTCTGGATCCGAGTCTTGGAACAAGCGTCGGAGCTCTCGATTATAGGAAAAAGTTTAATAGATTTGATTTCGGGTGTTATAAAAAAAACCTAACAATGCAAAATTATCTATTAAACAATAAACTTACAATTTAATCTCATTATTGGTTTATATTAATTAGCTTAAAGTTTTTTTTCATCAATAGTTCTTATAATTTAGTTAAATCAAACAAATTTCTTATTCACATGTCGCATTTTCTTTCGATATGATAGGTTAAAAACAGGAGAAAAAGTGCTTTCTAAAAATTAGGGCTTTTAATATACATTAAGACTCACTCTTTTCTACCTCTTTTCTTTTATATCAAAATTTCAAAAAAAAAAAAAGAACAAAGAAATGAAGTGAATTTTTAAGGAAGATGAATTTTTTGTTTTTGCAAAAATCACAATCTCAAAACCTAATTAACCTTCTTTTCTTTTGTTCGTATTTCATAAATATGTCAGGTAAGAAAATTATCGATAGAAATAAATAGTGGTATTTTGAAGACCAACAAATCTAATTATATAATGAAATTTTTTTAAAATTATAGGGTAAAAATATCAAGACCAAAAAAGTAATTTAACTTTATTATTGTTAATATAATTATTATTATTTTGCCTTAATGCTTATTTTATTACCAAATCGAGTCAAAGACACATTACAATTACCGGAGACCGATTCAGACTTGGTTATTTATTTTGGAAAATAAATAAAGAAATATTTATATTTCAATATGCGCCCTCGTATGTCAGAAGTTTTTGGCTCTACTTTTTAGAAATATATATTTTTAATTATAAAAATTAATTATTTATATTTTCCATGGATCAATTGAAAAGGATATTAATATTTTATATACATGAAAATAATATTTTCTTAAAGCAAAAGTCGGTTATTTTAAAAAATCAATGCTATTAATTTTTTTTCTCCTTTTCTTCGAGTTCAAAATGAATCCAATTCATTGAACAAAGACGAGAGAGATAATATTTTATTCATCAAATTATTAGTTGCATGTCTTAATTCTAATTAATAATCTTTTTTATGGATCTTTTTTTAATACAACATGTGTTTCTTTTTTTTTTTTTTAATTTGTTAGCTTTGGTACAGTAATTTAATTTTTGATTTAATGCATAATCAATTAATTTGTTCAAAGCTTGATTTTCATTGAAGTAGTGAGTTTGTTTTTTTGTTTTTTTGTTTTGTCTTTGATGGAAAGCAATGATCGTCATTGATCAATTTTGAGAAACAAAATCCATACCATGAAATGGAAATACAGAGGAAAAATTGTTTATCTTTGAAGAATTTTTCTTCAACGAAAACACCGACGTACACCACCAAATGGTCTTCCGTGCTATTCTCTGGATATTGAGATCGTGCTTGTATGAGCAATCGGTTTGGAACAAGAGAGATTGAAAGAGAGAGAGAGCTTTAGAGAGATCTACTTAGAGTTTTTCTGTTCGGTACTAATCAGAACCTTTTTGCAAAACAAAATCAACCTTATGACGTGAGAGTTATCCCATGTCATAAAACTCCCCACTCCCCTCCCTCTGCTAAAATGCAGGAGAGTTAAATATTAATTATTAATTAATTAATATTATTAATTAATAATTAATATATATATATAATTTATTAATTAATCATATTAATTAATAAATAATTATTAATTATTAATCCAATTAACAATTAATTCATATATATATATATATAAATCAAATAAATAATTAACATTTAATTATTTATTACAAAAATAAAATCATATTCTAAAGCATTTCTTTCCTATAACCTATAGTTGTAATGTATATCTTATTGCACATTATTTTTAACCTATAGCTTTAATATGAATCTTATTCATATTAATTTTATTTGAATCTCATTCAAATAATATCTCTCATAATATATAGTTTTAATTTAGAAATTAACTATATATTATAATGTATCAATATACATATATTCCCTTAGCAATTTGAACAGTTCAAATTCTTCCAAAAACTTGATCCTCATTTTATCTGTTATGAGCTAGCAAGGGGACCTAATGGACCTACAGATCAGAAGCTCCAACGATACGAGATTAATCGGTCAAATAATCAACATTCGTTAACCTAGATCGAGTCGTCTGTAACATTTACAAAGTGGGTCGTATCCATAGTGTTGCCAAGATAAGGTACCCAACCTTATCCATATACTATAGACTCTTTAGGTTATTCCCGGGACATTATCCACTTGTATTTCAGGGGTATATCAAATATATACCTAGTATATCAAGGGTATATCAAATATATACCCAGTAGATATACTGTCACGGTTACTTGATAATAACCTTGGATGTTTAGCTTACTGGATTTTGGACAATGCACTGCTCTGAATTCAACAACAAATAGATGGAATAAAACTTTATTGAATATACATTTGTTTTTACATAAATACAAACTACGAGTCTAGGGCGACACACCCAACATTTTTTCCATTATCTTTTGTTTTAAATTAATGGATGAATTAATGAAAATTGAATAGAGAGTAAAATTTTCAACACTTATCTAAGTATAGGTTTCAATCTGATGAAGTTGAAAGTTTAGGGTAAAAATTGATACAACTTTCTAAGTTTAGGGGTAAAAGTGATTTTTTCCGAATATAATTTTAGATGCATTTATTATAAACATGTACATTCAATAATATTGAAAACTAAATTAGAATAAATTATTATGTCTAACATTAGTTTGTTTAGTACAAATGATAGAAGTTATGGTAAAACAAATACAAAAAACTATGACTTTATATATGCATAATTTGATATTAGCTTGTTTAAAATAAAACATAATTATCTGTACAAAACATAATGTATACTAAAAAAGAAGAAAAAAAGGTAATAAAACGTAAAATATTTAGTATAGTTTTTTTTAATAAAATTAAATTTATTTTGAGGTAAATAGTTTAAAGAATAGACAGAGAAACAAAAATTATATATAATACTGTATATTTGTCATTTTTTTTCCTCTTATGGATGAATTTAAATTTATCAAAGAAAAGAGATATTTATATAAATAGCATAAATTGAGTATATATTTTTAAATATAGCGTAAAGCTTAAAATTTTATAAAAATATCATAGTCCAAATTAAACTTAAATTTAAATATTATATAAAACACACAAAAGTTCCTAAAAAAACACACAAAGAAAAGCCAAATTTATACTATATTTAACAAAAATATAAAACATACAGTCAAATTTATGTTATATTTAACCTCCATTTTGATATCTTGTACTTTTTTAAAAGGGGTCATTTTGGTTCTTACTTGTAAAATTTTAATATAAATTTTATATACCATATAAACCTCTTTAATATAAATTTATGACTATATTTTAAAAAATTTAGTGAATAAAGTATTCTGCTAGAACTTTGATCTAAATAAATGAGATGAAAATAAAAATGATGGTCCCTTTCTAAAAGTACAGAACCAAAACAAATGTTTCGAATGTACGAGGAATAAAATGAGTATAAATACAAAATATAAAGACCAACATAAATATTTAAAAATTACAAGATTGCTCAAAATATAGGAATCAAAATAATATTTAAACATTTTCTTAATATTATTTGTGATACTTTATATTATAGGCATATAAATTTGTATATAATTTTGTAGATGTTTGAGTGGGAGGATAATAGAAAGAACTAAAATCTATTATTTTTTTTAAATTCCGAGATTAAAACGGATATTTTAAATGTTCAAACACTTAAGTTGTTATTTTTAAAACCATGCTAGAATAAAATTAACTCAACTCATCATATAATCTCACCTATTCATGATGGGATATCTTTAATCTTCTAGGAAGCTTTCAAATCCCATATGTTAAACCGTTAAATTATAAATTTGGTCTCCATGATATGTGCTTAATTCATTTATGATGTTTTAAAATTTTTAATTTCGTCCCTCTGATTTAGAGGTTTATTTTCAATTTGATCCTTATAAGTTTAGAAATTTTAATTTGGTCTTTATGGTTTAGTCCAACCTCGTAAATTGTATATGTTATTCACATATTTAATACATAAAAAAAATTATGACAAAGAGTTAGACGTTTTCTATTTGTTTCACTGTATTAACTCATTGAATTGAATTAAAATTGAGGACTAAGTTAAAAACATGAGAAAATATGTCTGTTTCAGACGAGTTTCTGAAGTCTTAATTAAAGGTCATATTTCACTAATCATAAGAAATAAATTGAATCATAGATATTAAATTAAAATTAAATCCAAACTATGGTGACCGGATGTATAATATGAATTTATATTATATTATATCATATATATATATGAAATTAAATATCCAAGGGCAAAGGAGATCTTAGTTTATAATATAGGGTAGGGCCACGACCCAAAATAAATGATATTGGCTGGTTTGGAGGGGACATATGGCCGGTTGGAAGTCCATGTCCAATTAATGCCATGGGACACAATTTAACACACTTTCTATAATAATTTATTATACATTTTAAATATTATTCTCGTTGCAGTATTTTCAATTTTAATTTATTTTTTTATCTATATTTCTATAATGTCCATTTTCATCCTTACATTTTTTATTTTTGTCCATTTTAGTAACTGTACTCTCAAAATGTTCATTTTGGTATCT